GGAGGCGCCGGCGGATGCAAGTGCTGTTTTAGGCTGGCGGCATGTGGTGTGCCGTATGCTGGCAAGCGCAGCTCTTGCGTGCTGGCTGGGCTGGCGAGCTGATGTTGCGTTGGTCGGTATGCGTACTGCGTAAGGTAAGGTACCTAGGCAGGCAAGGCAGTACTAAGTAAGTAAGTAGGTGTTGCTGCGAACGGACGGTAGGGCGATACCAGGTCTGTCGCAGATGCAGCACAGAAAACATGCCGCTCTGGCAGGTTCCGAAATACCAACAACTGCCAAGGCCGCCGGATGCAGCAATGAATGGATGTGAGCAAGAGTCTCCCACATTGTTGCCTTACCTAAGGCGCTTTCCCACAGCTTGGCCCGTGGAATCTGGGTGCGTCCCACCACACTCCATGTCACAGTGTCCACGTCCAAGCTCCTACCCCACTTACCCAAGGTACCTTAGGGAAGGCCAGACGCTAAATCGTGAAGTGGTACGCGACTAATCCATTCTGGGACGGACATCTGCTCCCTCGAAACCGGGCGGCAGGAGCAGGGCGAGCCTCACATTCAACATTCCCCCTCACGACCACCTACCTCACCTTACCTTTCTTTACCTGCCTTGCGCCCGTGTGCCTTACCCGAGCCAACGACCTACGATCATCCCTACCTACCTTAGGTACCTGGTAACCGCTTGACCACTAAAAAAAGACCGCACCTCCAGGGCAGCGCTAGGTATGCCTCCGGCGGGTCTCTCCCCAGGATTAAGACATAAAAAAGACAAAAAAAAAAACCGACCAGGACAAATGGAGTGACACCGGGCCACGGCATACCTGAGAGATTATTGACGAGAAAGTCATCTCGTTCCAACTGGATGCTACCTCAATCTTGTCCTAGTCATGTCTCCACGGCTACACGACGCAAAGGAATGGGTTTGAATACAACTATTCGAAGACGGGGATGTGCTCATCATAACTATTGCGTAGAGGTGTTTGTCCTTAGGTGTGCTTGAAATGCAAAGTCTTCACAAGTCGGGTACCTAGGTAAGCCAATAGGCAAGACCGGACAAGGTACATGCGCATCACCAGCTGCACCACAACACCATCGTCTGCAAGGCATTGTGTTCGTATGTATCCGTTGGTGTTGTAGTATTAGTCGCAGCTTAGCGCTCGCATCTTGAAGTGAACCAACAGCTAATTAGCTACCACCTGCACTTTGCCTTCCCATGCTGCACACACTCTAATTAGCTTGTACTGGAACACACAATCCCTCTCACTCACTTACTCATCTCACTCTCTCTCTCTCTCTCTCTCTCTCTCTCTCTCTCTCTCTCACACACACACACACACACACACACGCACGCACGCACGCACATACCTTCTGCTCCTCCTCATTACCTAGCTGCCCGACCTTACCTCACCCAGCAGCAGCCTCTTTCGTCGTACGCGACGGACCTCCTCCGGCCCTACATTTCTGTGGGCTTGTCCCCCATCCATGCTCGCGCCAGCTCCATTCTTTCCCGCATCTCCTCAAACCGTATGCGACATCGAATAACATCCATCACTTGTTTTGTTGCGGCTTTGCGACTACGAGACCCCGTTTCCATTCCATTCGCTGCGACAAGCACATCGACAACATTCACATCACCCGTCGCCATCGACTTGCTGCCGCTGATGCTGCCGCCTTCAATAATGACATAATCGAATCGACATTTTGTCTTTCTCTGCCCGCCGGTCATTCTGCTCCCGCCAGTCTGTTCTGCGCCCTTCTCTGTTTCTATCTCTCTCTCGCTCGCTCGCCCCCCGACGCCGGTCCCTGTCCACAGCCCGCCGCCCGAGTTGTTTCTCCATCCACCTCGTCTCGCTTCGCCTCGCATCTCCATACTATCGCGAATTATCACGACCCCGCCCACTTAGTCTGCCCTATCCGTACCAACCTCGTTTCCCGTCCTTACCCGCCCGTCCTGGTTGTTTGCGTCCGCTCTCCGTTACTGCGCGACTGCCATCTGCCTTCCCCCCGCCGTTGTCGGGAATGACATGGCTCTGCGCCCTCATGCGACGGCCTGGCGACAATGACGAGGAATGAGGCCGGCTCCCGCTTCAGCTCGCTTACGAGCACCAGCACCGACAGCACCCGATCGTCGGCCACTGTCAAACCCCAACGGCCGTCTTCATCGTCGGCGGCATCGACATCGACATCGCGCAAGGCGCCTATGCGACTGAAGACGGACGACAATGGATCCATCGCACAGAAGTGAGTGTCATGTTCCGTACTGTACTGTACTATCGTTGTCATGTTCATGCCCTACTACTCTCTGCCCCCGCCCCGGTTCCCCTCCTAGTCATTCCGTCAATCAATCAGTCCATCATCCATACCATTCCAGACATGCCTCTTCCCACAAGTCAGTCAGGCCAGCCCAGTCAGTCGTCCAGCCGGCCCGGCAGCGGCAGCGGCAGCGGCAGCCCCAGCCCACTCAGGCAAGGCAGGTCTACCTTATCCACAGTCCCAGAGCCCACACAGTCCACAACCCGAGTTCGTTCCTAGTCCCCAGTCAGAGTCCATCGCCGTCAACCTTGCTCTGGGTTTGGGGCTCCTCTTCCACGGCGCCCCTCCAAAACCAAATATCCACCTACGCCATACAGGGCAGCCTCCAGTCCTGGCCTGGTCGCTGTCTGTTGTTGTACTCTTCGTCGCTTGTCCTTGGCTGGCCGGCCCCTGCCCCATTCATGGCGCCTGTTGCTGCTTGTCTGCTGCAACAGTGCAACTGCTGGAGCGAGTGTGTGGTGTCCCACCACAGCTTTCTTACGCGCGCCGCGGCCGTCGTCCCGAAACCCAGTCCTGGGCGAGACACTTTTGGTGTAGCTTGGGCTTCTTTTTCTGCCCTTTTGCTGCAACTGAACTGAACTGAACTCGGCCGGTGCAGCCAGCAAAACTGCTACAGCAGCACTTCAGCTCTCTCGTACAGCTCCCCCCTCCCATCACCCATCACACCCCTCCCAGGTCTTCCCTCGTCCCCTCCAACAGGCCTGCTAGCGACCCTGAATTCCCTCTGGCACCCCCTCCCCTCCCTTCACGTCCTCCCTCACTCATCGTACTGCCCCCCCTCCATCGAAGTCGCCTCCGCCCTGGCCCCCGGCAAGCTTTGTCGTCGTCGCTTCGTCGGTGGAGCTTTCTGCTGTTTTCGATCCCTCCAGTCCAGCCCAGTCCAGCTCGACCCGAGATAATCTCACTCGCTTTCCTTCCTCTCCCCTCCATGTTCCTTCTTTTGAATGTTTCTGCCCTGACGCCCTGACGAATGCGCCCATTGCTGACTGGTCCCTGCGTTCCACCCCCCCCGTCTAGATCCTTCATCAGTGACTTGAGCCCAGCCCAATCCTCTCCAACCCACGCATCTGCGCCGCGCGGAGCATTGTCGCCAGCTTCAACAACATCCAATGTCTCCTCATTCCGAGATCACCACCGCGTGAGCGACTTCGCCAACTACCGCCGAGACCTGGCCGTGCTAGAGACCTCCGGTGGCCGTCTTCCCTCCATCCAGCAGCAGCCTCCAACGGCCAATCCCTCGTCAACCTCACAAGTCGCTCCCTGGATGTCGCCCTCCAACGGCGGTGCCACCGCATCCACCCCCCAAAGCCAGCTCAACACCACCTTCTACAATGATTCCAGCGACAATCTATCCATTGCCTCTCAGTTGTCGCCAGGCTTTCGTCCGCCCACGAACCGAATAGCACCTCAGTCGTCCGGAAGTCAGGACTCGCCTGACGCTGCCTACTTCGGAGACGAACGCCGGCCCTCGTTAGCTAGCATCACGACACTGAGCAGTCAAGGCTCCAAGACGAGTATTCGAAGAGGTGGATTACAAAAATTACAGGGCTTCTTTGGGGAGGAGTTTCCAGGTCGAGATGGGTCGGAAAGCAGCTTGCATTCAAGCTCGGGAAAGGACCGCTCGCGTTCCTATAGCCACAGCCGCCCTACCAGAGATCGCAACTACTCCAACGCGACCGACCACCAACGAGACCGAGAAGGTTCGCCTTCCTCTTCAAGGCCGAGGACCCCTGTGCCCGCTCCAGAGGTTGTACCTTTCCTCTACCAAGAAGCCGATGTGAGTAAAATCCACGCATCCGCATCCTCCTGCTGTTGTTTTGTTTTTGTTTAAACCGATTTTTTTTTTCTTTGGATTTTTTTTGTTGTCGTTGGCATCCCCTCCAATGCGTTGTAAACCCATTGCAATCATCCTTCCCGAGCTTGCCTCGCACTCATCCGCATTTCCGTACCCTGGGCGCCACTATCACGCATGCGGGTATTGCGCCGCATCAAACCATAGTCTTATCTTATCTTTTATGCCCCTTCGTGCAGTGCCAGTGCATACAGCCTGTCCTCCGTCGAGTCAAGCCTGCTAAACTTGCTTCAAGGATATTGCCAGGTACGGCGAGGCCCCAGTCAGAGACATTTTGAGCGGCCCCGACCGCGAACGTTACATGAACAACGAAAATCCCAACAACCCGCAAAATCCACCAAAGACCTCCTCATCAAGTCGCTCCGGCCATTCAATCGTGCATCTGCCTGGCCACCATCACCGCCATAACAGAAGCATTGATGATGGCAGGGCGCTCCGGCCAACTGTAAGCAGGGAAGATTCTCAAGCGAGCTTGCAGGTGCAGAATCCCCGCGAAAGAGGCGGTTCCGCGGCTACCGTCATGTACCCTTCCAATCGAACCCGCGCCCAAAGCCCGACACCGAGCGGCGGCTACTTCAGTTCGAAGCACAATCCTTCCGTCGACGGCTCGACATCGCCCGGCGGCCAGCAAACCCATCATTCGAAGAGAAATATTTTAAATCGATTGCGGGGGAGGAACAAGGATAAGGAAGATGCCACGTCTAGGCTGCGTGAACTACCCGGGTCGACCAGGTCCTTGGCCGCGAAACCATCACGAACTGATTTCGCCCGACCAGAGGCACCTTCAACCTTTCCGCTCGCCTACGCAGGTACTGAGCCTGGCCCCGATCAGGACCCAAGGATGGCCGCGGCCGCGTACAACAACCAGCGCAACCAGCAGACGTTCAACAACAGATTCCCATTTTCGAAGAGCAAAGGACGTCAACAACGATCAAATGAAGTGGAAGAGCAGATCGGCCCGACGGATAGGCAAGCAGGCCAGGGCACCGGCTTCTTCCTCGATACGAACCTGAGCGACATGGAAGGCATCCTAACCAAGCCTCCAATGCTGACGCCCATGGATACTACCTTTGTCACGAATATCCCCGACAAAGTCGACGTGGCTCCTCCGGTGCCGCAGAAGAATGACGCCTTCCCAGGAGGGCCCAATGGCTCCTGGAATGCACCGGACAGTTGGGCTGTCCGTCGTAATACAGAGGACACGACTTACCAACCCCCGGATCTCGACGACATCGGCAGTCCGCCTCGCCCCGAAGAAAAGATGACACCCTACTGCATCCGAATTTTCAGATCCGACGGCACCTTCGCGACCCTCTCCATGGCTTTGGATGCCAGTGTCACCGATGTCGTTTCTATGCTTATTAAGAAAACGTATGCCACGGACGGCCTGGAGAATTACCACATCATCCTGAAGAAGCACGACCAAATTCGTGTCCTCGCTGCACCTGAGCGACCGCTTTTGATGCAGAAGAGGCTGTTGCAGCAAATCGGTTATGAAGAACGAGACAGGATTGAGGATGTGGGCCGTGAAGACAACAGCTACCTTTGCCGCTTCATGTTCTTATCGTCGAGAGAGAGCGACTTCCACTCGGTTACCAACGACCTCGGCCTCGGACGCATACAAAAGTTCAATCACGTTGACTTATCCGGACGCAACCTCATCACAATCCCTATCTCGCTCTACTCTAAGGCTTCAGAGATCATTTCACTGAACCTATCTCGCAATCTGTCATTAGACCTTCCTAGAGACTTTATCCAGTCATGTCAAAACTTGAGAGACATCAAGTTCAACAACAATGAAGCCCGCAGACTACCCCCGAGTCTTGGAAAGGCTGCCAGACTGACATATCTGGACGTCTCGAACAACCGGCTCGAGCAGTTGGATCATGCGGAGCTGCATGGGCTACATGGCATTCTCAAGTTGAACTTGGCCAACAATCGTCTCAAGGCTCTTCCCCAATACTTTGGCGCCTACAGGTCGCTGCGAAACCTCAACATATCTTCCAACTTTCTGGAAAAGTTTCCCCTCTTTCTTTGTGAGGTGGAAAGCATGGTGGAGCTGGACCTCAGCTTCAACACAATTAGCAGCCTGCCCAATGAGATTGGCAAGCTCCGAAACCTGGAAAAGTTTGTCATTACCAACAACAGACTATCGAACTCTTTACCCGATTCCTTCCGTCAACTACCCAGCCTTCGAGAACTGGACATCAAGTACAACGCTATTACTAGTATCGACGTTATCGCCGCACTGCCCAAGCTCGAGATTCTTTCCGCGGATCACAACAATATTTCTCAGTTCATCGGCTCGTTCGAGAGGATCAGAAGCCTCAAACTCAACTCGAACCCCATTACTAAGTTCGAGATTATCGAACCGGTCTTGACTTTGAAGATGCTCAACCTTTCCCATTGTCAGCTGGCAAGCATCGACGAAACCTTCAACATGATGTTGAATCTGGAGCGTCTCGTCTTGGACAAGAACTATTTTGTGTCCTTGCCTGCACACATCGGAAACCTCAGCCGACTGGAGCATTTCAGCATCGCCAACAACAACGTGGCTGAACTGCCAACCTCGATTGGATGTCTCACTGAACTCCGGGTACTGGACGTAAGAAGAAACAACATTCGCAAGTTGCCAATGGAGCTTTGGTGGGCGAATAAGCTCGAGACGTTGAATGCGTCTTCCAACATCCTGGAGAACTTCCCCAAGCCTGCCTCACGAGCACCTCGAGCCGCAGGCGAGGAAGCCCAAACCCCTGCTGCTATGAATAAACCCAATCCTATGAACAGTCTCCCTCAGCTACCTATTGAGGAGGTTCCAGATTCTAGGAGGCCGAGCGGGAACTCCTCATCAACCTTGCTTAGCGTCGGACCTTCTCCAGTGCCCGGCGGTGCAGATAGGAAAAGTTCGGTCGTGTCAGTCTACGGCAAAGGCGGCAGAAAAACATCGGTGGTATCTAGATCGACGTCTCAAGGCACGGTTCAGACGATGACGCCGCCATCTGTGAGGAAAGACTCGACTTTGACATCAAGGCTCTACACAACTTTCGCCGGTTCTTTGCGAAACCTTTACCTGGCAGAGAACAAGCTTGATGACGAGGTTTTCGACCAGATCACCATGCTCAACGAATTGCGCGTGCTCAACTTGTCGTGGAATTATATTAATGATATGCCACAACGATCAATCAAGAGCTGGCCGCAAATGGTGGAGCTTTATCTGTCTGGTAACGAGTTGACAACCTTACCGGCCGACGACCTCGAGGATGCCAGTCTTCTGCAGGTATTGCACATCAACGGAAACAAGTTCACCAATCTGCCAGCCGACATTTCCAGAGCTAAGAAGCTGGCGGTGTTGGATTGTGGCAGCAATTCCTTGAAGTACAACATTTCCAACGTTCCCTACGATTGGAACTGGAACCTGAACCCCAATCTGAGGTACCTCAACTTGTCAGGGAACAAGCGCCTGGAGATCAAGGCGGCCAATCCTCCCTCCACCGCCTCCAACCGCGACGATTCACTCGCTGACTTCAGCCGCTTGCTCAATTTGAGAGTTCTGGGTCTCATGGATGTCACGCTCACACAACCCACGATTCCCGATCAAAGCGAAGACCGCCGTGTGCGAACGTCCGGATCTCTTGCTGGACACTTGCCGTACGGTATGGCCGACACCCTGGGCAAGAATGAGCATCTCTCGACGATTGATCTCGTCGTGCCTCGCTTCAATTCATCAGAGACTGAGACGCTACTGGGTCTCTTTGACGGCCAAGCCCTCTCCAGCGGCGGTTCCAAGATTGCCAAGTACCTTCACGAGAACTTTGGTCACATCTTCAGCATGGAGTTGAAGGGCCTCAAGACACGTCTTAACGAGACCCCTGTTGATGCTCTCAGACGTGCTTTCCTGTCACTGAACAAAGACCTTGTCACCGTTGCGATACAGCACAACGAGGAGCGCTCTCAGAAGGTGCATAGGGGCTCTGCGCAGCCGGTTGTGCTCAGTAAGGAGGACCTTAACTCTGGCGGCGTTGCGACCGTGGTGTACCTTCAGAACACAGAGCTCTTCGTAGCGAACGTCGGCGACGCCCAGGCCATGCTTATCCAGACGGACGGCTCCCATAAGATTCTCACCAAAAAACACGATCCCGCGGAACCTACCGAGCGTCAACGTATCCGCGAAGCTGGCGGTTGGGTATCTCGTAATGGCAGACTAAACGACTTGCTGGAAGTCTCTCGAGCTTTTGGCTACGTCGAGCTCATGCCATCCGTTCAGGCAGCCCCCTACGTCAGCAGCATTACCATTCGAGAGCAAGACGACATCATCTTGATCGCCACCAGAGAGTTTTGGGAGTACTTGGACCCCGCGTTGGTCGTCGACTTTGCTAGGCAAGAACGCGGCGATCTTATGCGGGCATCGCAGAAGCTTCGTGATCTCGCAATCGCCTATGGCGCCACCAACAAGATCATGGTCATGATGATGAGCGTGTCTGACTTGAAGAGGAGAGTCGAACGATCCAGACTTCATCGTGGGCAGAGCATGTCTCTGTATCCCTCAGGTGTTCCCAACGATCTACAGCAGCTTCCGCGTCGTGGCAAGAGGAACAAGGGCGACGTGCTGGACTCAACATTGCAGCGACTCGAAGCCGAGATTCCAGCGCCTACTGGCAACGTGTCTATCGCATTTACCGATATCAAGAACTCTACCACATTGTGGGAGATGTACCCAGCTGCGATGAGATCCGCCATCAAGCTGCACAACGAGGTAATGCGCAGGCAATTGCGAAGAATTGGCGGTTACGAGGTCAAGACTGAAGGAGATGCCTTCATGGTGTCATTCCCGACGGCCACTTCGGCACTATTGTGGTGTTTTGCGGTCCAGATGTCGCTGTTGGATGTCAACTGGCCTTCCGAGGTCCTCAACTCCGTCTCTTGTCAAGCACTCTATGACAAAGACAACGCCTTGATCTTCAAGGGTCTTTCCGTTCGCATGGGTATTCACTACGGCGAGGCCGTCAGCGAGATGGACCCCGTCACCAGGCGTATGGACTACTTCGGACCCATGGTGAACAAAGCGTCCCGTATCTCGTCGGTTGCTGATGGAGGCCAAATCACTGTTTCGTCCGACTTCATTTCGGAGATCCAACGTTGTCTAGAGAGCTACCAAGACACGGACAGGAATGCCTCGACAGGTTCTGAAGACACGTTTGATGATGACCAGGGCTTTGCTACTACGATACGCAAGGACTTACGGTCTCTCAGCTCCCAGGGTTTCGAGGTGAAGGAGATGGGAGAGAAGAAGTTGAAGGGTCTTGAAAACCCGGAAGTGGTGTACTCGCTCTACCCACACGCTCTTGCGGGACGCATCGATCACCACCAGCAACAAGAGACTCGCGTCGAGGTTGATAAGCCCGCTATCTTGCAGGCTGGCAGCGAGTTGGCGTTCGACACTGAGTCCATTTGGGCTCTGTGGCGCGTCAGCTTGAGACTGGAGATGCTGTGCAGCTCGCTGGAGAACGTGTCTGGCCGTGGCTTGCAACCTCCCGAGACGGAGCTTTTGGAGAGGATGAAGCACCGGGGAGGTGAGGTGACGGAGCGATTCCTGCTCAACTTCATGGAGCACCAAGTGAGCAGGATAGAGGTGAGTCCTGTTGCGAGAAGAATCTGTGTGATTTGTCGCTAATAATCCTTTCTAGACTTGCGTCACTTCACTGTCACTTCGTCACATTGCTATTGGCTGTGCCCCTCTGGAACAGCTAGAGGATATGCGGGCGCCCATTAGCGATATTCTCGATCAGGTCGCCAAGCAGATGGCCGAGCTAGCGAGATACAAGGCCCTCTACGGCGAATTGAGCGACTCAGACCACGGTAGCGACACGGAGCAAGAGTAAGCGCAGTGAGCCTTCGTGATTCATGATTCTCATGCGGCGGCATAACTTATATAATATACCTACGGCGTACGACGGATTCCGTCCACATCAACCTATCACCTGGATACCCGATTCTTTCAAAAGGGAGGCATACGGCGCTCTGATATACTTATTCCATATCTGTAAGATGCGATCACGACACTGAAACAGCCAGCGAGAAGCGGATTGGTGCCTGGTTCCTAGGCTTGGGGTTGCACACCTATTGGGTTTTACTGGTTCAGGAGGGTTCAACTCGGAGATAACAATTTTGGTCTTCGGGAGTAAGGCTGGATGAGAGAGAGTGTGTGAGAGAGAGAGCACAGGGACTGGTGTGTCTGACGCTAGGCTCGCTCTGTTCGTCCTTGTGTGTGTTTTGCGTGCGTAGGCGCGTGGTAGGGGGTTGGGGGGCAGGCTGGGTTGCAACGAACACGGCGGTTTCGATTGAAAACGATAAAAAAGTGTGCACATGTACGTGTGTTGTATTGGTTCGCATTGGAAGCAGACGGGAACAGGATACTTGTAGAGTTCCTCGGGGCATTGGATACGCGGGGTTTAAAGGCTGGTTACGAACAGCCGTGTGGTAGGATAGTGTTTACTCTTTTCCTTCTCCCCCTTTCACAAGAAGCCGAGCTTAGAGCATGGCATTCATCAAACGTTCATGTTCCACTTCTGGTGATTCGTTGTGATTGGGCTCGCTCCCTCATTCTCTCTGAGGGAAGCGAAGCCCTTGGTCTAGTAAATGTAATACAAATGCGACGACGCTCGTGAAATCAACGTTTATTGGGACACAATCCTCGCCCCGGAACCCGCGTCCTTGACTCTCTTCAAGATGCGGATTCTAGGCTCCATCCGCGGCCCAGCCCACCAGCCACCAGTCAACGACCTGACCTTGTCACGAATCCTCTTAACCCACAAACCTCTGCCGAGGACCTTCTCTCCTTCTTCGGTGTCCTGCTCCCCGGCCACGACGGCACCAGGCTTCAGGATCTCGATCCCAGCGTACCCCTGCACGACGCCGACGGTCTCCCACTGGCCCCCCTTGACGGACGCAGGGTCCTCGGCAAGCACGTAGTCGAACCGCGACCAGAACGCGGGGTCCGCGAGGACGGACTTGTCTTCCGTCTTGTCAAAGGTCATCACCGGCACCGCGGCGGCCGTCGTCGCGTCGCTGTTGAGGCTGTTCTCCAGAGCGCGCGAGTGGGGGTTCTTGGGCAGCCCGGCCGGGTTCTGCCCAAAGAGGGTGACGCCCGTCATGCAGCTCAGCACGTCGGTGTGTACGGCCGTCACGGAGGAGCTGGCGGGGCTCTTGCCCGGCGAGGGGCCGGAGCCGACGAGGGCGTGGAGCTGGCGGAGGGCGTCGCCGCCGGGGTAGTTGAGGGAGGAGATGAGCAGCATGCCCGTCGAGGCGGCGAACGCGGCGAGGATGCTGAGACAGAGGGCCGAGGAGGCGAGGGCGAAGACGAGAGATTTGGTGCGACGGGCGAAGATGTAGTTTGCGCCGAGGGCGGCCGCCGCCGTCAGGGGCGGGACGGCGTAGAAGATGAAGCGGGCTTCCTTGTGAGGCTGGATGGAGTAGATTGCAACGAAGAGGAGGGAGGGGATGACGAGGCCGCGGGCTACGTTGGATGTCCCTGGCTGGGTTAGAGCTACGGGGATGAGAAGAATGAAAGTCAGGGGGTTGACGAGCAGGCGAGGGAGAGCGGATGTAAAGTAGAAGTGCCAAGGCGAGACGCCCCAGTCGGAAGAAGAGCCGAGGACGGCATTGTAGTAGAAGCCCCAGAGCTCGGGCCAGAGGGGCTTCTGCCAGAAGTACGAGTCCAGGGGCACCGAGACAACGAGGGCGACGGTAAAGCTCACTGCGAAGGGACGGATCAGGCGTGGGATCGTGGTTTGCGACGTCAGCAGGAGGTAGAGGCCCGTAGTGGCGAGCAAAAGGGCGACTTCGGAGCGGAAGATTGCGGCGGCGAAGACGAGGAGGGAGACAGCAACGCGCTGGCGGGGGGATGAGATCCGGGGGTTAGGATGGGGGAGAAGGTTTGCAGAGGCGAGAGTTGCTTTTCGTGATGTTAGTTCTACTACAGCAACCATAATGAACGCAGGAGTACTCACTCAGCGCGAAGGCAAACATGTTGGGCAACGTTCTTGACGCGTAGAAAATGACGTGAAACTGGCTAGCAAGCAACAAAATCCACCATCGCTGCACATCTACGCCCAGCCCCTTGCCCAGGCTGCGAGCGAAGAGGATGAGCGCAGCAGCATTCGCGAGACCCAGCAGCAAGCGGACGACGAGCTGGGCGTGCGCGAAGCCGAATAGGGACACGATGGGACCACCGATGCCTGCGAGGAGGACGGGGCCTACGAAGGTGCGAGGAACGGCGCCGGGAAAGTCAAAGTGGTCGTAGGAGGCGCGGAAGCGGGAAGCGATGTCGCTGGTTGGTGTGCCGTAGACGAGAACATCGTGGGTCGCTTGGATGTTGAATGATTCCTCTACTTTTGTGTCTGGGGAGAGGAGTAGGTGGATGGTGATTAGAGAAGGGATGAGTCCCAGAAGGACAATGTCTATAGCCGTGTCAGTCTTGGTTGTTTCCAAAGTTTGAACAAGAGGGAGGATGCGTGAAGGAGCTGTAGATACCTGGGAGCTTCATTGTGAGCGCGTCAAGGGGTGCGTGTACTTTTAGGGCGGGAGGTACTGAGAAGGGAAGGAATGAGAAGAGAAGGATTGTGAAATGTGGTTTATTTCATATCTGTACTGAGGAAAGGAGGATCGTCAGGAGATGCAAAAAGTCCAAGTTGTGAAACGATTTGCCCTGTGCTCCTTTTCATCTCAATGCCTTCCAAGTTTCCTGATGATAATTCTCGCGAACTTGGAGCTCTCATTCAGGCGGGACAGGTCAAGTTCTCAGAGTGAAAGTGTAAGCTGTCGTCTTGCACCTACCCACCACAGCTCTGAGTGTCCGTGCACGGCCCAAAGACATTCATGCAATGCAAGCAATTGGAGCGATGGGCACACACAGCAGCTGTGGACAGCTTTCCTCCCCCCCAAGGCGGTACCTGAATTAGGTACCTTACTGGCAGCGGGCAGCGCAGACAGGGATCATCGGAACGGATCAAGTCCACCTCCATCACGCACTGGACCCAAGGTAAGCTCCAGGTCTGGACAGCGAAGCGCAGCGCGCAACCACCATCACCACCTGGCTCCAACTTCCCAAGCTTCGTCTTGCTGGAAACTACCCCCTTACCCCACGATCGCAACGAAACCAATCCTCTTCCCAAAAGCCTTCTTTTCCACAACAAGTTGGCTTGCGCCTGCAACCGCCGTCAAGATGTACATCCTAGGAAACTTTCTCTACAGTATGCGCACACATCCCTCCCCATCTCAGAAAGCTTGCGCTAACCACAATAACCCCCTCCAGTCGCTGTCCTCCTCATCAACGCCATCGCCGTCCTCTCCGAAGACCGCTTCCTCGCGCGCAGTACGGCCGTCCTCAATTCCCCCCTCCGTCTACCCTCATTGAAGTACAAGCGGATGCGCAAGACGAACGGTTCAGCTAATGACCTCCCGAAACAGTCAACCTGTCCCCGTCCTCCTACGACCCAGCTTTCGGTCAGAGCACCGATGCGAGTGTTAAGGCCAAGATCATCAACCTGATTGCCAGCGTGCGGACGCTTATGAGAAGTACGTATAACATACCCGCCAGGCTACTTGGGAGCTTCGGGAGGCGAGATGCTGACGTCCCCCGCTTTACAGTACCGTTAATAGCGATCAACACCCTCATCATTTTCTACGAGCTCATCCTCGGATAGACGGATGAAGACCCGGCGGATCTGCTTATTCTTTGTGTATATCAAACGGCTTGGACCTTTCACAGCATGGCATCATCGTAACGAACTGGCGTTGGGGGTTGGCAGCGGGTGGTTTTGGTCATCGAAGGGGCATCACTGCCCAGGAAATTAAAAACAACACGGCGCGGCAATACAGTGTCATGATATTGAGAAGGGCAAATGCTTTGCAACCTTTATTCCTCGGAGACTGCCTCTTCAGAGAATTGCAGCTCTGGATCTTGAATCTTTGATACCGTCTTGCGCTATCATACAGTTCGGCGTGGTTCGTCAAAAGCAACGCTCATGACTCCATCAACTGTGGCCTTGAACCTAGTCGCCCTCATTATGTGAAAAAGAATATTATCCAAGCTAACCGCACCATGCTCGGGTATCTGCTCGCGCCCAGAGTTTCCTCCGTTGGAGCCGTTCGTGGGGCTGGTCGCAACCTACACCAGGGCAGGAAGCGATGTACTGTGTCTGTCCATCGTACACAACAGCTCCCTACCGACTCCTTTTTTGTGATATGTACTAATGAGAAACTGAAACCTTCAGCTGAGTAAGTCGTCAAACGATATTTAATGCGCCGCCTCATGACAGCAGGTTTCCGCTCTTCTTCCTGCCTAGATTGAAACTGAACCGCTCTCTCAACTCCTTGGGCTTGTCTGCGTGGTTTGCTGCGCCATCGGTGCCATTATGACCGTTCTCTGTCGGCCTCGGTGATTCAGGCTTATCCTTGTCCTTGCTGAGAAACCCGAAGCTCTTTCGAGTCATCGACTTGCTTGCCCGGCTAGACCTGTTGAGGAAGCTCGTCGTGCCAGAGGGTTCCTTCTTCTTCGGTTCTTGTTCTTCCGCAGTTTTCTTGCTTAATTCCAGAACCTGGCGCAGCTCGTCCTGTTCCTTTTGATAAGCTTCTCTCCGCCGGGCGTGACTTTCCCTTCGTTGCCTCTCTTCCTCTTTCGCCTTGTCCTTTTCAGCCTGCTTCCGGGCCTTCTCGGCAGCCTCTTGCTCCTTCTTCTCCCGCTTCTTTTCATCCTTTGATTTTTCGTTCTTGGCTGCCGTGTTAGATCTGGTGATGCCAACAGGTATCGCAGGAGCAGCGGGTGTGGGCGGTACTGGCGGAACCTCTGGTGCATCCACTTTACCGGGCGCAGTCTGAGCGTGAGAAACCCCGGGCATCGGATCACGCTCTTCAATCGGGCTTACGGGTTGTGTAAACTGCTTGGAAAGGGGTGCAGTGCCGTTCGGAGTGCCGTTCGTACCGTTGACCTGGCCGTTTTCCTGTGCGACGTTTGCGGTTTCGTTCGCGATCTTGACCTCCTCCGCACCCTCAGCCTCCATCTCCGCCTGCACCTTTTCGAAGGTGGTCTCTTGGTAGAAGAGAACATACGCGCAAGCCATGCCGGGCTTATCGCCAAAGAAGTTGCGAACGAAGTGCTTGTCGACCGGTTCCACCATCTCGTCGTCAAAAAGAACCCAACCACGATCCTTGGTCTTGATGACTGAAACATAGTGGCCGTGATAGGCATTACCTCCGATGTGAACTACAACAGCGTACAGTTCGTACATTCGATCCGGGTCCTCGGCGTCATCGGTGGTGTTGAACATGCGTAGGTGGTAGGGATACACGACTCGGTGGAAAAGCTTCTGCAGCCGGCTGTAATCCTCGGTATACTTGAAGCGCTTTAGATGCAACGCCAAGACCTTGGGCAAACGCTTAATCTTCATTCGCTTTTCAGCCTCCTGAAGACCGCCGCAATGATCGCAGTGAAACTTATTGCGCTCGCAGAGCATTTCCTCGGCAGAAAACTTGCGTAAACATGACGTTACTGATGAATGCTCATCCAAATCGATGGACAGGTCCAGAAATGTCTCGTCTCGTTGTGAGGCCGTCTCACAAGTCAGACACTTTGTTTCCGACGTCAAGACTCCCTCGAAAATGTCGTGAACCCATCCGGTTCCAGGAGAGCCCATGCCGTTGACAGGGCGATTGATGAGGCTCGTGGCACCAAGAGCATTCTCCACTGACTGAACCAAGCCGTCCCTATTTTCAGCCTCTCGCTCCTGGATCCGCCTGGCGTTGGTCTCGACGTTGGATATGACGTCGTTCAAGACCAGACCGTAGAACTCGTGAGCGTCCTGATGCATGGAATTTCGAAACATTTCATTGTCTCTCTTGAAAATTTCGAGGAATCGCTGCGGGCTGAGCACACCCGTTCTGGTATTGCTCTCAATCAGGGCCTGGAAGATGTCTTTGAGCCCGGTGAAGGTGCATTCCTCCATCCCGTATGCTGAGGGGTTTTCCTGGGCCAACTCCAGAATCGGGCCCTTGATCATTGCCTGCTTCTTCTTGTATTCGGGCGAGTCGGGCTTGTCTTCGGGACGTGTGCCAGGAGCGCCTGGAGGGGGCATTCCTGCAGTTATAGCTTGTCTGCGCTTCATCGACTCCGAGGCACTCAAGCCTTTCTGCTTCGTACCTGGGGTATTTGGGGGTTCTTTCGCGACTGGCGGACGGATGGTTACGTTGACCTTCGGTCGTGTTCCGTTGGGGGTATCGGTAGGCGACAAGGGCGGATACTTGACGACATGGTCTCGAAAGGATTCGGAGTAGAAGAGCGCTTGTACAATTGAGTTACAGTAGCTATACAAAGGTCAGCGAAAGGGCCAGGAGAAGCGACAAGGTGGCATACCAGGTATTGCCAAACTACACGATTGATCAGCATTCGTCGTCTCGGAAAAGCCGGTGCAGACACCGGTGGGGTTTGGAGGACTTACATTCTCGAGACCGAAGAACTTGTCGGTGCCATCTTCCCTCAATGGACCAGCATTCTGTAGCATCTTTTCCAAGGGGGTAAGCTCGGGAGCTGGCTCCTCCTTGCCGGCTTTTTTGCTGGGCGCATCTTTGGTCGCTGGGCTTGTGGTTGTCTAGAAAGCAGGCACTCTGTCAGCAACGGCGAAGTCGCGCAAAGGCCAGCATGTGAGAACGGGACGCGGCGGCGGAAAGGGCGCGGGCTGAATTCCAAGAGATTTGGTACGCACATTTCCCGCATTCTTCAGTTTGTTGAAGAAGCCCGCCATGTTGGCGACTTTTGTCGGAGGCTGGTTAGAGAGGGCGGCGAGCGAGATACGGGGTGTTTGTCGGTGGATTGTTCGCGCGAGACAAGCTCACGGGGGCCGGGCAGAGGAAACGAAGTCAAACATGCGATAGACAATTGGGCTCGGGTTGAATGATATGGCTATGAGTGAACTGCGGGGAGAGGTATATTGGAGGAATCGGGCGGATTCGAGCAGTGCGCGCGACTGTGGCGCAGAGTAGTAATGGTCGCTCGGGGATTCGGCCGAAGAGTTGGTGGTCTGTGGAGGGACAAGAGAGGAAGAAGAGACGTCAGGGGAGATTGGATGCCAACGGTGGTGGAAGCATCTGCCTGGACAAAGAAAGATAGACCAAGCCGTGTTGGCAGCAAGTAGGGAAATCGTGAGGAAGGAAGAGAGAGATTGGCAATGCGGGAGATGGAGAAAGCAGCAATAACGGCGTACGCAGAAGTAGTTAGGTAGACTGGGTGTGAGAGGGATTTGGACTTGGGGACCTGGGGTTGGTGGTACCTGGTCTGGTCCGCAAGAGCAAGGAGGACGGAGGCGAGGTTGTGGGTTGGGGACACTAAGGTACCTCCTGTACCTACCTACTGACCCGACAGGACAGGATCGGGACAAGATTGGACAGGCAGTAATAGAGAGGGTGTGACAGTGTGTTGGAAGGCGAGGTGCCTTGGGTGCGGCGCAGAGGTGCGTAGGTAAAGGTAGGTACCAGGTAGGAACGGGCAGCACTGGACGGTGCCGCGGGACGGGCAATCAGCGACAGCCTCCCCAGCAGAAGCGGCAGGAAACCGACAGCGACGGCGACACACGGTGGAGAGGCTGGCAGACAGCGGCTGCGAACTGGTGCGGGTGGGAACCTAAGGATGGGCTAGAAGGTCACCCGCTGATGGAAGGTGCCTTAGGTAAGGCAGGCACACGCAGGTGGTGGTGATAGTGGTGGTGGTGGTGGGGGGAAGAAGGGACGGGGGGGAGGGCGAGGCACAGAGGAAGGTGCCCCACCAGGCAGTCCACAATCGACGGTGTCAGTGGAGGGAAGGTGGAGGCCGGTGGAAGGAATCGAAGGGTTGCAACGCACAGAAGGAGGCTAGTTCGTCCGCGAGTGCAGGGCTAGACAGGTCAGACAGGCCAGACATGGGGTTTCTGACCAGGGGGGCGGCATGGAGAGTCCTTTTTACGGCGTGTGCTTTTCCAGGTGAGTACCTGCTCCCCTTCTACGGATGGCCTACTAACTAGGTACAGAAACAGCATACGAGTACTTGTCCCGGCCGTCGTCATGAGAGCAAGCAGGAAGAGGGGCAGGAGGTTGGATACACTACCTACCTACGAATACAGATCTCTCCGCAGAGCTGGTGGCTGGTGGTATCGAAAGCTTACTTCTCGTCGACGTACTACGGTGAGTGCTGGCCATCTTGACATGGCAAGGCATGCGTGCCGCCAAGGCGCATACGTACATACAGCATACCTACGAATACAAACATTGATCAGAATTACCTTCTGTTCCTAACCCGAGCGTTCGCCGGTCGGAACAGCACGCCGTACCAGCCAGGCCAGCTGCAAAGCCCAGGACACTGGGGTGCCTGGCAGCAGCTCGGGGGAGAGGGGAGGGAGGGACCAGCACATCATCACCTTGGGTACGAATACTCATTGGCCAGCCAGCCGAGGGCGACAGCAAGGGACCGACTACACTAACATTTAACCGATAGCGACTTCGTTGGAGAACAGCACCGCATCAAAGGAAAGGTATCTATACCATTGTTGGAGTGTCAGACGACGTTGTTTCTGACTGACTTCAGCCCCAGGTGACTCAACTGTACCCGTCCTCCGGGAACTGCGACCTCTTCTTCCGCCCAGCTAAGACAGGCTACCTACGGACAAGAGTCCCAACGGGTCGCCCGCCATGTTATCTCCTCGTGGCCTGACCGACGGTGATCACGCCCTGTTGGAACAATGTTCTGCACGACACCGCCCGCGCCAGCGACGCATCATCCTCAAGCCCACGCCTACGCGGCCTGGCCAGCCAGCGGCTGAAGAGACCGAGAGACAAGCTTCCATCTATGTTCCATCACCAACCAGCGCCATCTAGCTCCCGTCTTGTGCACACCTCAAGTCCGAGTGGAAACTCACACCGAGCGTCGAGGGACGAAAGACAACCTGCTGCTGATAGCTCCAGATGTACCGCTGGTGTGGTTCTCGCCCACCTTCCTGCTTACCAACACCCAGGCACGGAGCACTTACCAGCCTGACATGCGAGCACCCTGCCACCTTCTTTCTTCCTCCGCATTTTTACCCACTCAACGCAGTCACCACCGACCAGGTGTGCATCAGTCCCTGTCGGCTCGTCGAAACCCTGGCAGCGAGCGCCAGCAGCATCGTCTTTGGTCTCTGCAATCCATCCACCAGCACGCAGTACGTATCCCGCGCTGTTAGGACAGGTCCTACGCTGCCTATCTCCGGTCTACGCAAGTGGCCCCAACTGTGAGACGAGGGACCTCTCTCATCCGCGCCTGCAATTGATACCGAGAAACTACTCCAGATGTCCGTCTCTGCGACCGACCACAACCGCAGGAAATACAGCGGCCCCGTCTTTGGGGTCGGCTACCATTCGCCGCCTCCGTCTCCGACACGACGGACCGTTCAAGCGTTACCTCTGACTGGCTGGGCAACACAGCTACAGCCCATCGTCCATGGATGTCTCTTGTGTTGCCTCTGAGTCTGTCTCGCCTCGCCTCGCCTCGCCTAAGCTTGTCAAATCCCCCTCCACACCCTCGCACTCACTTCCATCCATGCCGTGGCTCATGGGAGCCCGACACCTACATACCCTCTGCTACTTAGCCGGAAGGAAGCTTGCTCTTATTAACCCCATTCAACCTACTTCCATCCATTGACGCTGGCTGATCTGCGTCTATCACTGTCTTTTCTTTGACTTTTTATGTCAACGGGCAGGTCACGGCCATGACCCCTAAGGCCTGAGTACGGACGACTGTCCACCCTTCACTCTTCGCTATGACCTCTCCTAGGACCAGCAGTCCTTTGCTGCGTACGGCACAGCAACCCGCCGAAGCACGAAGCACCTCCTACGCTACGTGGGGGCCAGAAACGGTCGGCAAGCCTACTACAAAGAGAATTATCGAAAACCAAACGGCCCTGGATCAACTAGAGGGACGCCATCCCGGCCTGTCTCTGGGTCGTGGGGTCATACTTGGAACTCTGCTGAACTCACCATCCAAACCCCAAAACACCGTCTATCAAGGATAACCGCGCTAATACGGCCATCGTTGTTGGTCAATCCGACTGCCATGCTGCTTCGACTTTATCTCTCGCCTTCCGATGTTGGCTTTTCACTTCGTACCCGCTGAATCTGCTACGCAGACACGCAGAGCGTAGAGTAAGGTGTCAGCTAGCCCTCTCTGTTGGAGCCAGCCCGCCCGCCTTGCACACGCCCGACTACTCAATCGGGCACGATGGCGTTCCCCTCGCTCTTCTATTTGGTGGGAAAAAACACCCGGTGGCTTTCACAACCCGTAGCATGCACACTATCACCAACCGACAGGTCAAGCCTAACACTCTAGCTGCCGACGTCCACTCCGCACTTCTCTCCACACCCCGGACAAAAAAGCGAACGCCCTGAGTCGTTGGTGTTGCAGGCCCCGATGTGAACGACGATCGATGAGACAGACATCGTCCAGGACGGGCACTCTGCGACTGCCGCTCGACACAAAAAGCGGCCACTGTGTGCTTGGCCAGCTAACCCCGATTCCACCGTTCTTTCGGTCGGGCTCCTATCCTTCACTTTGCCCGTTACCCTTCGTGTGGGTTGCCGCCGCAGGCCGTGCGCCTGGCAACAGGGCATGGCATGGCATGGAATGGCACGCAGTGGCTTCTCGTTCTCACAGACGGAGACCCCTCTCAATGTGCAGTATTTCAGGGTTGCGAGTTGCAAAGTCGACGCAACGTAACGCAACCAAACCCGCCTTACCTGAAGAGAGCAGATTCACTGCAACAACCGACGGCCGGCTCACACCAATGAGCTTCAGTTATTCCAAAACCAAACCCCCATCCCGGGGTGGTCAAACTGTCAGATCAGGCCAGACCACACGACCCCCAGCCGTCCACTGGCTCTCCGCCCGGTTGGATCCCTTGGTGCGGTGCGGCCACCGCCAACGACATGTTGCATCGAGGTTGGCACGAAGAGACAAACTGCTCAACGCTACTGGTTCGATTTCGTCTCCAACTGCCCAAACGCAACGCCGCTGTGACCCTCATCCACGCTGCTGGTCCCGAGCCCATTCGTTGAATTCACCTCCCGCACTTATTCGGCCCATCTTAAGGCATCCCTCCCGTCTTTTCCCATCTTTCGACACGCTGACTGCTTTTCATAACCCTCCAACAGTGGAGAGAGACGCCGTCGATCTGTTGATGCTCGCCTCCCCATGTCCTGGCATGTCCCTCCCACCAGGCCTGGGGAACGCTATTGTTGCCGGCTAGCATCCATGCGGGGGATATCCGCTCGCGAGCGCTCTCACGTTGCGAGCCCATTTCATCCCTACCAATCATTGGTGCTCTTCTCGGTGCCTCTTGGTCGCATCCATGTCCGATCGAAACGGATTTCATCATGGCTTGTACCCAGTAACTCTGTGGCAGACCGTCAGCTCCTCAACAACTCCGCGGCCAGACAAGTATCATCCATGGCCAAGCAATTTTTTGACCAATGCCCCGCGTCATTCTTACCGTTGGCGGCGGACAAACAAGGCAGATTTTACCGCAGGAGTCAATAAGAATAGACAGCCTTCGGGAAACGAGGACCGAGAGACAAACAGCCACCTTCCTCCGCCGTTCGGGCTATTCTCAGTGTGCCTCGCTCATGCCGCACCTTGGCTCCAAGCCAAACCTCCATACCCGCTCGACCAGTGTGCCCCAATCCAGCGACCGACAGTGGGCGCACCGCCTGGATCACCCGCACTCCTTCAACACACAACCTGCAGCACGCCCACGCCTACTGGTAGGTTGGCGCCCTCCACGCGCCTCCCTTGCCGGCCCGATTCCTACAAACTTCTGGAAGAAACGAACGTCATGCCATGCACCCTTCGGTGCAGTCTTCTCCACTGCCGCTCTTGAGACACTGCGCCATGACGAAATGCCTCCAGGCCGACTGCCCCCTCCGTCTTACAAACGTCCTTGGGATTGCCGAGTGAACTCAGACAGCCCTACACTTTACCGTCGCGAAGGGAGCAGGCACCGGGTTCTGGAGGGTGCATCCTCTCGGGGGGGCAGAGGTATTGGCCGGTTTCCGTCCTTCCAGCACCGGGGACGCTGCCCACCTTAGTTCGGACGGATCTGTGGTGGAGGGTGGAGGGATGCCGCTCCGGCGTCACCGGCAGTCGGAACCGCTCTACAATTGCACACCCATTACTACTACTCTGCAGCAACCCGCAGTAGTTGAATGTCCGCCATCGAAGCTAATGCATTCCAGTGCATCGTGCGATGTTTTTGAATTTGATATATCGGCAGGTGGTTTTTTGTTTTACTGAATCGACCGAGTTTTGTTTGCGGTTTCCCCTCCATAACTGAGCAACATGGAACGCACTTGGCCTCGAATCTTAACTTTGCCGGTTCGAATGGGCCAGAAATAGTACAGGTACGATTCGGGGTAAGAAACAATCGCTCATAAACCAGTGAGCGGTCAACTGGCAGTTTTCCAAGAAAGATACAGCCCGGTAAATGCGTTGCTAGTGTGCTCTAGGCTCAGCAAGCGATTCATGTCGCTGCATATGTCACCGGGAGTTTCTCGGGGTTGTTGATGGCTCAGATGGAGTTGTCAAAGTCTAGTGGATCCCATGAAAGACTCCCCCACAGCCAGCAACCAAGTTGTCTGACTGACCGACTTTCAACTCCCTACGAGCCTCTTGATGCTTGCGATGTGGCAGGCTGTCCGGGCGTGTTTGCCTGTGTTGCTTCAAATATGAGACGAGCCAGGTTTTTTGAATTGTAAACCTACAGCCCCATTGACTTAGAGACGTAGTTCAAGCGCAACTAAGCTGAGAATGGTGACCTAAAGACGAAGTTCTGGCAATGCGATGAGTACAACCACGTACTTGCTTTGGATGATTATTGGTTGTGATGCAGGAGATATTGTTAACAGCAGTGAGGGAGGTGCTCAAGACAGCCGGGCTGCCCGAGGAAGAGGAAAACGACGAAGACGACGGCCACAACTGTAACGATAGAGACCGTCTAATCATATCACAATCAATCATAGAACAGTATTCATCGTGGGTCCAGGTGAGAAGAGGTATTTGAGAAGCAGCAGGACCGGGACAGAGGCAGCAAGACTTATCATAGATAGTGACGGGGATTACTATGAGAATTTCGTACGATGAGGGCCCTAAGGGCAAGGATACTCTTCACATAGAGGGAAATATAGATAAGTGAGAATCCGTAATTTCAGCATTTTGCTAGCTATATGCCTAAATTTTGCTGCATACTGGCGCAAATCAGTTGTGACGTCTCGTGGAAGGAGCAACTGCGGTACTATAACGTCAAAGTCGCGACACAGGCCCGCTGGAGTAAGTGCTCCTTCCCTCATAGTCAACCTCACCTTCCAGATTCCGCAACAATGGGTGCGACCACCGTCGCAAGATAGCATAGCGGCGGATTGTGTGTCTGGTTTCGGCACAGCTCGAGGATTCGAGTTCTTAGGTGGCTCTACATATCTCCAGTAGCCGCCCATTGTTTTATTTTTTCTTGTCTGTTTTTGTTATTCCGAATAACGGCAAGTTCTCAGCATATGTATATACAGATACTCTTCCTCTTTCCCTCTCATGTTAGGGTAATCCAGTATGAAGACCATGCTCGTTGGGACTACTGGCGTTGACCCTGTTCTAATGTCTGCGGTAAGGTAGTATTCTGACCTTCCCCGTCGCAGTTTTGCGAAACCTACAACTTCACAATTATCCGATAGGCCCGCGTCTTTACTCGGAAACCCGCATTCGAAAGCACTCAAGACTAAAGAGTAGACGATTAGTTGGTTGTCAAAAGTCGACATACAAAGGTTGAACCTATCTATGGACACGTATATTCAGGTCAACCGAAGCTTTTGTCAGTACGTCTTATGAGGCATCTGTGGTGATGCCGACGCTCACTTCACACAGTTATGAGATCTGCGGCCATCCATATTTATGAATGATCGCCATTTACATCATGGCACGACTTTCGTACCAATGACAATTCAAAGCAGATGTTTGCTCGACCGTAGAGAGTAATTAGCCAATAAAAGCTGGTATCAGACAAGCTGCATCTGCTATATTGATCCTTCGAGATAACCTGCCTGTTTACACTAGCAGGCTTGTTGATGAAACGACTAGTACGTCTGCTCGTCCACGAAGGTCTCGATGACCTCGGCAACCTTGCTATGCCCGTGTGCTCTGGCAACCTCTGCTGCCGTCCCGCTGGCCTTGAACGGGACCCTTACGTTTTTTGATGTGATACTCTTGTTGACCCCCAGCTCTAACAACCACCTCACCATTTCCATGTGGCCCCTTGCAGCTGCGTAGTGGAGTGCTGTGAAGTCCGCGGCTGCCCTTTTGGACGGCCCATACCCACAACCGAGCAAGAAGCTGGCGCATGTGATATGCCCGCCATAGCAGGCCCATAGGAAGGCGTTGGTCTCTTGGGGCGTTTTGTAGAATTTCTGGGCGCCGCGATCGAGTAGCAGGCGCATCATTGGCAACGAGCCTCCTCGAGCGGCAAACATGAGGGGTGAACCGCCATGTACCGTCTTCTCGTTGGGGTTTGCCCCGAGATCGAGCAATAGACGGGTCATGGGCAGATCGTCCGAGGTTATGCTGACGTGCAGTGGCGTACTCTTGTCGTTGGTCTTGGCGTTCATATCAGCAGACTTGGAAGCGAGCAGCCTTACAAAGTCCGGTCGCTTCTCCTTGACGGCAAGGTGAACCAGCGTTCTTCCTCTCTCGTCCGTCGGCGTCGGGCTGGCGCCGTGACCTACCAAGGCCCGCATGATATCTATGTCAACCGTGCCCTTCTTGCCATCCTTGCCCAGAGGGTGCCAGGCTAGTTTGAGAGGTGTTCGGCTTTTAAGGTCCAGCAGGCCCGTGTCAGCTCCTCTGTCCAGTAAGTAGTGAACGACGGGGCTTGTTGAGTGTAAGACCGCGAGGTGCAACGGGCTGAACCCATCGTTGTTCAGGCTCTTCCAACTAGCGCCCCGTAACAGCAATGCCATGGCTGTTTCTATCCGTCCAGCTTTCAGAGCCGCATGTAGGGGAGTATCGCGGACGTTGTTCGAAACGTGAACATCAGCGCTGAGGGTGAGAAGTCTTTCGAGAATAGGCAAGGAGCCCTTGCGAGCGGCAATATGAACTGCGCGGTCTCCGCCTTCCAAGGCCACGTTGATGTCGCCATTTCGGGCCAACACGCTTTCAACACTGTCGAGCTGGCCGCCTTTGACGGCTTTCAGCAGATCCTCCGCGTAACCTGGATCGATCTCTCCGGATCTCATCGGAGTTGACGGTGGAATATTCCCCAACATCGATTTCACGTCCAGTGTCTGGCCCCTAATGTGATGTTAGATGAGTGGCACGTTGCAGACTCAAACTCGTCTCTCGAAAGCACTCACGCATTGTACAAGCCGACAAAAGAGTTCATCATTAATCTCTGATTCCTGAGGCTCTCAAGTAGGTCCTTAAAATTTCCTTCATTGAGCACCCAATAAATTCCAAGCCGCGTTTTTGCGATAATGTTGTCGTCTGCGTTGACGCTGAGTTTTCTGAGCTTCTTCTCCAAGAGTTTCAGCGTCGATTTGATGCCCTCCATAGTATCCCTGAAACTCTTCATCAGCAAAGCTTTATTGCCATTCGCACGATGCTGCATATTCGGATCCTTGTCAATGAGCGCCTGTAAAGTTACGCAGAGCAGCTCGGTCAAGTTGCGCTCGTACTTGAGCTGGGTGACATCCTGCCCCGCATTGGCGAACGTCTCAAGCAAGTCCTTCGTGATCCTGCAGAGTTCAAATACCGAAGTGACTGTGCCTAAGATCTCCATGCTGATGAGAGACAAGAAGGTGTAGTTTGGCAGGTTTCCGAGATGGGGTCGACTTGGCGATGCGGTCGTTCCGGCGTTGATATACGGCGATCTCTCCTTTCACCCCTCATTCTGCCTGCTGTATCGTGGCCAATGGAAGGTTGCATGTCCCAAGCTGACATGCGCGCGCCGGGGCGACCATCAGAAATACGGGCTATGTGATCCCATTCGTTGGTCTTGGCTGACGGGATAGCTTGAGTGGAACGTCACTCTCGGTGCTCACTCGACGCCTGTTGCTCGACGCCTCTTAATGCTGTAGCTGGTTCGCCATTGCTGGACAACCCAGCGAGCGGGTGAGTTGGCCGAATGAGACCGACCACACGGGGAAGTCAAGCTGGTGCTGAGTTCTATTAACGTGTGAAAGTTGGAAAGACATCGCACATAGTGTTGTTGGAGACATAGGATGCGAAAGTCGAATTGTGGGATGCCTCATATGACGACATTGCTCTGGAGAAAACAGGCGGTATCCCTGCTTTCCTTCAAGGTTGATCATCAGACCTCTTTCCCGAGCGTAAAGTTCGCCAAGGATGGGAAGTGCGAACGGGCTCATGATGAGTTCGAGGGTAGAGCTTTCCATAGAGTTCGAATCACCGCTTGCTTGCTGGCGTCGAGATAAGGTGGCAGCAGCAGCATCCTTCGCGAAGGTACTAGCTTGCGTCTGTGCTTTACACAATACCGAAGGGCTGGGCAAGACACGTTCGATGCGGGATGGTCTCCGGAGCTCTCACGAAATTCAGGTACGTAAACCAGGGTTTATCAGGGCAGGGGCCGACTGTCATTCGCTGAGCTGCCATCTGAACCGTTGGTCGGTGTCTGTGTGGTGCTCAGCACATGTGCAAGTACTGTCCCGCCGCGGGACGCGGCCAGTGAGTGTGCGTGCGTGCCATGCATGGCTGAAGGCTGATGTGCCCGATGGAAAGGATGAAGAAGGGACAGAAACATGGAAACGGTGCCTCCCACTCGCAAAGTGCCAGGGGCCAAGACGCTAAGACATCCCGCAGTCGACTGCAGGCGTGCGCCGCCTCGAGATAACCTTAGCTTGGGGGTCTGGAGTCACTGATAGTAGTAGGTGATCCGATGTAGGTACTTTGTACTCTTTCTCTCAGTCTGTCTCTATCTTATGATGTGACGACGAGCTGCCAGGAACCGATGCCTTATCTATATATAATATTACTGACGTACCTGTTTTCCTCCTGTCCCCTGGTCCAAAGCTTGTGATCCTGCAGAATAAAATATCGAGCCGTCGCTCCAACTTTCTTTTTTAGACAAGATTTCTTCATCCCAAGCATCGCAGACTCACCTGCCAAGACCAAGTACCCCCGAAAGACAACTATCACACCACATTTATCGCTCTACAACAAACCCATTCACAATGACGGCCGAAGTATCCCACGGACGCGGCGGAGCTGGAAACATCAACCCCGACGACACCCAGTACGTCGATGGCGAAGTCGTGAGGACCGGTCCTGAGGGTTCCCAGGGCCACGGAGCCTACAGCGCAGGCAGAGGAGGTACATAAGACATCCGTTTTCTTATCAGCGTCACCCCCAGCCCCCTGCGGCATCGGCGCGATGAGCTCACGAAGCCGACCCTCACCCCACCGCCTTTGTAATTGCGTCGCAAAGTCGCCCTCTTGAGAAACGCCGCTCATCGACTGACTGTATGCAAATCACAGGTGCCGGCAACATTGGCGACGCAGGCTCTGCGCCCGCCCCACGCTCCGACAAGGACCTCGTCCCCGAGGAGGCCTACCGCCCCTCGACCGAGAACCAGGACTACCACGGCGGCCGCGGCGGCGCTGGCAACGCGCACAAGTCGATCGACCACGAGAAGAAGGCCGCCGCCCAGGCCCGCGCCGACGGCACTGCTGGCGTCAGCGTCGCCGACAAGCTCAAGGCCAAGATCCTTGCTCCTTTCCACAAGAAGTAAAATTTTCTGGCATGGCGTGAGCGGGTGCAGATTGAAAATGATGCGAAAAGAATGCATGGCTGACAGAATGATGTGGATGTTTAATGTGGTGGCGGGATGCCTGGATTGGCACCAGACTGTTGTTGTGTGCTGTGCGTATGGGTGGCTTTTGGTTGGAAGTTGTTAACATACCTACCCTTCACGATATCCCCATTTTCATAGATATGCTTCCTCTTGAGAACTTTGAATGATATCCTGCTGCTGGCTCAATTTACCGTGGCATCAAATTTCTCAATTGCGGGCTTTTGTAATGAGTCAATCAGCAAAATCCGGGTCAATGTCGCAATTTCTGTTGCGAAAATCAAGTTCAACATCAGCAACTGAAACAGTGACCAAGAAAGCGCGTACAATTTGTCCTCTAGATCTAATCAGCACATCTCCTTAATATCGCAAACATCCCCCCTTTCTTCATGAATCGAGTACGACAGTAGGGACAAACATGCGAGGAATGATAAAAGTCATATAGGCGATGACGATGACGAAGACGAAGATAATAACAACGACGGCGACGATGAAGACGACGACAGTAATATATAGTGAATATCCTCAACAGATAGTCGCTCTAGCACAGGGGAAACACAGGGCCTCTTCTGGTTTACCCAGTCTTTCTTGCTCTCTTTTGACCCGGATAAAAAAACACTATCCAAATACAACTTGTTTGTATTGGGTGTTCGAGAAGAGAAAAACACGTCAAGATACCAGCAGCTGTATTAGCCTCGTCTCACAAGGTCACCGAGATCAGCCACAAAAGTTCAATTCAAGCAATGTAGAAATCCATAAGTCGTTTTGTGCACAGGGAATGTAGCTGCGCCAATAGAGGAATCAGGCGGTCTCAATTCAAAACACAACTGTGAACGGAGAGTTGCGGTATCTGGTGTATATCCGACTTGACGCTCTGCAGGGATATGCTTTGAACGAAAGAAGATACGGACAGAAGCAGCATCAGATGAACGAACTCTATCTGTGCTTTGTATGTGCTCTCGGTTAAGTCAACACCGCACAACATGACAGACGCATAATGCGAAAAAAAGGGCAAAAATAAAGACATCGACGAAGACAAGATTCGAACTTGCGCGGCCGAAGCCATTTGATTCCAACATTTATTCGAGTCAAACTCCTTAACCACTCGGACACTTCGCCACGTGTTTGATTGATCTTATTGTGAAATAATACCCTAGGGGTGGGTGGAATGTGGTGTTGTGCCATCCTTCGTATTCGTGTGTGGCGGCGGCGCGCTTTGAGGTCCCCACGTATGTTGCCGTAACAAGCCGCATCTCAAACGTGTTAATTCAATTTAGAAGAGAGCTTTCAGATTCGTTTAAAAACATCCATGCGTTGCAATGTTCACAATTCGTTCAACTTTTGGATTTCCTGCGTGTATCCTGCAAATGCTGCACTGAGAGTTCCGATGATATCCGGGATGTGGGGAACATCGGCGCCGACGATATGGTCCGTGCACACCGATCCTGTCGCAGGTCCGCAGAGCCGATTGATGATGTAATCCGGTCATGCTTAGCAGAACATGAAAGTCTCAGAGCGAGAGAATCGGACTTTGTCGGCGTCGTTGAAACTGTCAAGCTTGCAACTTCACGAGCGAACTAGAGTTTAGTCGATCCAACAGACCGGAAACTGTTGTTTTGGCACATGGCCAGCGCTCGTTATGTCGGCTTTGTCTCTGCGACAACATTATTGAACAGAGAAATGGAAGCTTCAGAGTTCAGACCCAACGTCGGCCCGTTTCATCTCATTGCGGAGAGGCACCAGGGTATTTCTGGGTCCTGGCGACGACAGACCCTTCCCCGGGTAACTTTAAAAGTTGAGGCGGTGAAGTCCGGAAAGTGGTCCCATCTTTGGCTTTGGGCGGACATGGAATTGTACGAAAAGGTCATGGCACAAATAAGCAGTATTTCGGATCTGACTGTAGTGTGACAGGCAAAACCATGTTCAAGCTGCGAGGGATTACAAAATAGTTTTCTTGGTTTGCGCGCGATTTGCGCTAAGTAGTCTTAACGCCAACCAGCTCGCAAGCCGGTGATCGTCCTTCAGGGTCCAACGGGAGTTGAAGTGTGGTGGGCAGCGAAGTCAAGAGGGCGCGCAGATCGCGAAGGCACTTGCAGAATGTCCACCCCCGCAAGCCCCAGTACGGTTCGGATCGTCACGAAACTTTGCCGCAGTGTTGCCAGAGCCTAGAGGGCAGGATGCAAGGCAGAGTTCAGATCGCATAGTTTTCGATGTAGTGAAATATGGTGCTGTGGGCATACCAACATCAGAGAATGTTAGAACAACAGCAAAGTCATACTGAGTCAGATAACTGTAGGTAGAGGTCCATCTCAATCAGCAGCGAAGCTAGCCCCTCCCAAGGCGGCAGCGGCTCTTTGCCAAGAGACGACTACTTGATCAGTTGCGATTTCGCCGCTCCTTGGTCATGCCAGAGCAGGTTTTTCTAATTGTGCAGGGCTTCTTGTTCATCATGAGAGGGTTTTCGATGCCTTCACAGCGGGTAAGCTACTATCTGATGCGTAGATACAACGAAAGATTTGCGGGATGAGAGAAAACGCTGTACGAGGGGAGATAAAAGTGTGGCCAATGTTCATCAGTTCGCCCTCTTGCGGTGAGGGTGGTGTCAATGGCAAAGTGCTAAACCAGGGTTGAGATGGATGGGAAAGTATGGTGCAGGTAGATGCAGGCGAGCGGCGGCCAATGCCCAATCCAAAATCGAGTGCAACGCATATCCATCGACGCACGCTGAGCTTGGAATATCGGACGAATGAGGCCCCCGGTTCGTCTCACGATGGCTGTCGGCACCGCGTACCTTCTGACGATGACTGGAGCTCATTGCCTCATAGCGCCGCATGCTTGAAGCGTGGCAGCGGCGCTAGAAACATGAAGGACACCATTCATCGGCGATGATGCATTGGAAAGCACAACAATATCTGCGGTCGCATGTCTAGGAGATTGGGCAAAGGCGTTTTCAATGCGACCAGGGGGCAGCTAGGTTCGGGGAAGGACGGCGTGATGGAAGGAAGGTGGAAAGGCGATGAATGGGACGGACAGTACAAGTAAGGTAAGGTAGAGAAGGTTGTGGAGGTGGAAAGAAAGAGGTGGTGGCCTTGGCTCAAGCTTACTGCAGCACCTAGTTGGCTTGGGCTAATAACTTGCAACAACGCAAGCGTATTCGTACGGCAGGCCTGGAAAGTCGGAGAAGGCATGGAGAAGTCTGGTCGTCCACTCCGGGGAAGACCATGGATTGACATTGACGTTGTCACCTTGGAGCTGGCCTTTGCCTCACGCGGTGTGGTTCCTTCCTTTGGCCGCCATATAACCAACCGCGCCGGCCCACAGTCGGGTCTCTTCAACCTGCCCGACGACTCCTTGACCTACTTTTCCTCCGACCTTCTCTTTTCTTGCTTCTGTCTTTTTCCCTCCTTCTTCCAGGATTCGATCCAGATAACCATTGTCGCAGTCGCGGTGGCCTCATGTTGCTGTCCGCAAGGAATTCATTGCGTCGTCGTCACCCGCACCTTCGGTCTGTCACCTAACAGTCACCTGTCAGCTTCGTTGCACGATTCCTAAAGCCAACACCCTCCCATCTCCGGTTTTCCTCGAAACCAGTCCAGTCCACATGCCCTTTTCGGCAGGCTTCCTTTGCGAGACACCCCACTGAAGGCAAAGACAACGACAACATCCGACCTGCCGCCCGTCCTCGACTTCTATTGGAACATCTTCAGCAGCACTCGCTTCCCCCGACGGCAGCCTCCAGTCAGAACTTGGCCGGTGAGGTGCCGTGCAGCTACTGGAAATACGCCGAGTGGTCCGCCCACAGCAGCGAAGGCGCCCCCCTCGACACCTCTCAGCAGGACAGCAGTCCATCGGTCAAGCTCAAAGTGGTGGTGCCTAGCACTGTTGCGACGCCCCCAGTGCTAGGTACCTAGTCCAACCTGCATTCGCCAACCCCAACCCCCAATCTATCCGCATTGCTCGCCGTGCATTCCGCTGTCTGCCCACCTTGGCAAGGTACCTGGCGCGGGAACCTGGAGATTTGGCTGTTCCTGGTTGCCTCTGCAGCCTAAACTCGGACGGAAGTTCAGCCCTGGAGGTTGCGTGCTGCGACCGGAGTGAGACAGCCCGCCAAGTCAGCTGCTCCATCCAGTAAAGTTAAGCCTAGCCGCCCGTGTCAGTGCTGTGCTGTGCTGCTTGATTGCTTGTCACCCATGGCTCCCAGGCATGAGGAACACGCTCGCCCGCCGCCTGCACCAAGGTTATGGTCGCGCCTCTCGACCTTGTCCAAACGCTCCTTTCGCTCCTTCACCTCCGACTTTGAGGCTGACGACGAACGTTCCGACAGCGACTCAGACTACGACAGGATGAGTCCTGGAAGCAGCAGTGATGGCTTCTTCCATGGCCAAGGCCGATATCAGGGTGAAGATACCCGTCCCACCAGCCAGAAGGAGCTAAACGGCTGGTACGCCTACGCCTTTGCTGCCGAAACCTATGTTATTTGTGGTAAGCAATAGCTATCCTCCCCGCCTTGCATCTGACCATGTTCACGAACTGACATTTCTCAGCCATCGGTATGTTCAACCAGCTCGTAATAACACTGTCGCTTCCCCGACGGAAGACACGGAAACATGTCTACATCAATGCGCCCCTCCAACACCTGACTCTGACGTTGCTGGTGCTGACAAGACCTGATTCACAGGCTCATTCATCCCGATTCTCCTCGAGACACTCGCTCGCGAAAATGGCGTCCTATTGTCGGACCGAACGACCCCTTGTGGCACGAGCGATTCCAAGAACAAGGCCGATGGACAATGTATCGTCTATGTGCTCGGGATGGAAATCAACACCGCGAGCTTCGCCATGTACACCTTCTCAATCAGCGTCTTGATCCAGGCTCTCCTGGTCGTGAGTATCAGCAGCGCTGCCGACCATGGCGACTCGAGGAAGAAGCTCTTGCTCACCTTCGCGTGGGTCGGTAGCTTCTCAGTTATGGCATACATCTTCGTCAACAAGAGCATATACATACTCGGCGCGTTGCTGGCCATCATTTCAAACGCATCTTTTGGCGCATCATTCGTACTTCTGAACTCATTCCTCCCTCTTCTCGTGCGATACCATCCCGAGGTTTTGGCGTCCGCGACGGTGCACACACCAGATCTCGGTAACTCGGACATGGAGTCGCAGCCTTTGAATGGCACTCCCATCGATGAAGATTCGGCTGTTGGCGATGTAGAAGACTCCACCACCGCATTGCTTGGAGAGAATGCTCATCATGGTCATCCTCTAGTAAGGAAAGCTACTCATGAGGAAATCACCTCGGTGGAGCTTCACCTTTCAACCCAGATATCTTCCAAGGGCATCGGAACCGGTTACATTGCCGGATTGTTTGTGCAATGCGTCGCTATTGTCATTCTGATTGCGATGCAGAACTCGACATGGTCGCAAAGGGTTGTGCTTTTTGTTGTTGGTGCCTGGTGGTATGTAACATCTCGTCTCTGTTGTCTTTATCGTCCGCATTGTTGGCCCTGATCATATGTTGTGTATAACCGGAGCTGACTTTCAACGAACAGGACAATATTTACTATTCCGGCCGCCATGTGGCTGCGCCCGAGACCGGGCCCACCAATGCCCATCGACTCCGGCTCGGGTAAGGGCGCTCGTGCTTGGTTGAGCTACACCAAGAACGCCTGGAGCTCTCTCTTCAGGACAGTTCAGCTTGCTCGACGCCTCAGGGACATCATGCTGTTCATCGTTGCCTGGTTCTTCCTCTCAGATGCCGTGGCAACGACGTCATCCACAGCGATTCTCTTCGCCAAGACCCAGCTTCACATGAAGCCTTGGGCATTGGGGATGATCAATGTTATATCCACTACGTTCGGGGTCATCGGAGCATTTAGTTGGGCCTTCATCTCGCGCAAGCTCAATCTCAAGCCCCACCAGACGATTTTGGTCTGCATCGGCCTCTTCGAGCTCATTCCGATTTACGGACTTCTCGGCTACATTCCGTTTGTGCGGAACTGGGGCGTGGGCGGACTGCAACAGCCTTGGGAGATGTATCCCTTGGCCGCGGTGTATGGGCTTGTGCTAGCAGGCGTGTCGAGCTTTTGCAGATCAGTCTACGGCGAGCTTATTCCTCCCGGTTCCGAAGCGGCTTTCTATGCTTTATACGCCATCACGGACAAGGGCTCGAGTGTGTTTGGGCCGGCGATCGTGGGAGCCATCATTGATGGATCAGGAGACATCCGACCAGCGTTCTGGTTTTTGGCGGCTCTGGTAGCAATTCCGGCGCCCCTCATCTGGAGCGTCAACGTGGAGAGAGGCAAGCGTGAGGGCGAAAGGCTTGCGGAGACGATCGAGGGGTTTGAGAGCCAGCACAGAGGAGTTGAAAGTGAGACTGAGAGCGAGGACCGGCCCATTCTCAGCGCATACGATGATGAAGAGGAAGATGAGCATGATCGGACCAGACGGTAGCATACGGGCGCATTGCATAGCACGGCGTTATGATGGCTGCCAGCCATGTTTGTTATCCTTCATTCGGTTTCTGGCTTGCGGTTCAGAAAAGTGCATACGCCTAGGGTAGATATGATTCAACACAGCGTTTCATGACCTTTGATGGTGTCGCCTTGTCGTTGGCGGCGCTGTATTGTTTGCGCCCTCACAGCGAATCAAGTGTAAGAGAAATAATACCAGAAGGTGCATTGACTTTTGCCGGCGCATTCAGCGGAGAATTGTCAATGGCGGATGCCATGTTGCAATTGTATGTGCTTACGCGAGGCAGTGCTGCTAACTCCGAAGAGATCACGTGATGCGCCTTCAGAAAATCTCAGGTGGCTGTGATTACCTACTCGACGCGCCGTTCCTCGACCCGGATCGCCAGCTCCTGTCCTCGACCTGCGATTTTTCCAACTTTGCGCATCGTGGCCATCATTGGTCGTTGATACCTGGCCTGTATCATCTCCAGGCCTGCCAGAGCCATCGTACACTTGTCATAGTGTCTTCGCAAGCTCGACCGGGACGGCGCGCTTGCCACTCGGCCTCATCTACCCCGGTCAACAGGCGACCCATTTTCTTCCAGCCACCCCGTCCTCCTTTCCTTCCGTCGCGACAACTCATCGACCATCTATCACCGTTTCAATCGTTTCAAATATCTTCGAACCACGCTATCCGACGCCGCTCATCATCTCTGCGCGATACCCGAACCCAAGTCCGGTTTGCGACCTCGGACCTGCACCATGTCGTCCTCCGCGCGCAAACGTCCTCGCGCCGAGGTCGAGGAAAACAAGGCCGAGTGCCCCTTCAGCATCACCTACGCCGAACCCGACACCAAGGCACAAAAGAAATCCAAAAAGAGAAGGAAGCAGGAGCCAGACGAGGATGACGCCAAGAAGAGCTCGAAGCAACTCTCTCCCTTCTCCCCGTCCGGCGACTTCAATGGCAAGAGCGCTAATGACGTTCTGGACCTGGAGTACAACGTTGTTCCTCAGAAGAAGTGGTTGGAAATGACCAGGTACAACAGCTTTGTTCGTAAGTTTCCACTGTTCGCTCCCTGTGATGGTCGTGCGCTCACACTGACGGGCGCAGTCAACGGGACAAAGTACTTCAGCGAGGGTTTCATCTACGTCGCAAACGACCAAACTGTCCAGCGCCAGAAGGCTGCGGTAGATGGATCTGCTGACGGCGATGCCGAAAAGGCTTTCAAGAGATCAAAGTCCGAGGATGACTGGGTGGCACGTATTTTGGAGATTCGCGCCAGCGACGAGCACCACGTCTATGCACGAATTTACTGGATGTACTGGCCGGAGGAGCTTCCTGAAGGAACCATGGAGGGAAAGAAGTATACCGGTGGTCGCCAGCCGTACCATGGTCACAACGAGTTGATTGCCTCCAATCACAGTAAGTCGCATGCATTGGGATGAAGCCGTGGTGTGGGTGCTGATTTGAAGTAGTGGACATCATCAACGTTGTCAGCGTGACGCTCCCTGCGAATGTCAAGCAATGGATAGAGGAAAACGATGACGAAATACAGGAGGCCCTTTACTGGCGCCAGGCCTTTGACTGTCGAACCCAACAACTTTCTGTAGGTATATGATCGCATCGTTGCGCTGATCACAGCAAAACTAACTTTGCGCAGTCCGTTGAACGTACCTGCAAATGCCGACAACCTGCGAACCCGGACAAGACCCTGATCGGATGCTCCAACAAGGAGTGCGGCAAGTGGCTGCACGAGCATTGCCTTCGGGAGGATGCCCTGACGCGAACGTACGAACGACTGGGCAGGGACAAGCCCCACTTCGCCGCAAAGCCCCCGACCGAAGGAACTGCTTCCGTTGCGGAGAGCGACATCGAGAAAGAAGTGAAGGAGGAGAAGAAGATGGACGATGGCGTCAACATTCCCCTGAGCCCCACGGAAAGCGGTGCCGAAGTCAAGCAAACAATCGATGCAAAGCCTAGCGACGCTCCCGAAGAGCCGAACGGCCAGTCAGTCACCGAGGGTACCCCTGCCATTCAGGACGAGCGTGTCTCGCAACACCCCACGACTCCCGCCACGCCTTCTGCGCTCGAAGCCCCTTTGGCGTCCCGAAAGGCTAGATCCGGGAAGAAGAGAATTGCGGCATCAGACACGAAGGCCTACGAAGGGCTCTTTGAGGCGAAGATTTTGATGGACATGAACCCCCCGAAGATTGAGATCAGGGACCTTCGCGAGAACGTCACCGAAGGCGACAAGGTGTGGACGGAGCCATTGCTCTGCGTCGTTTGCAGCGTTGAAATCAGCTGAACAAGTGGCTACGAACGGCCCGGCAACTCTTGAGCCCTGACCGAGGGCAACATTTTCTTTTTGGACGCGACTGTGGGGTTCCCAACTTTACTTCTCGCTATATTTATTCCAGCAAGCACTGCGTAACCGGCATTCTCCAATGGGCCCTGCAGTACTCTTAGCTGTTACGATTCGAACATGACCAGGACAGCCTTTCAAGTAATGAGAAAGGCTGGTTTGAAGGGAGCCACGCATAGGGGGGCGCGGGAAAGAGAGCGACTGGTGCGAGACAGGTTACTTTGGTGTGGTTGGGCCTCTATTTATCTTCGCGAGGCGTTGGCGAATACGGATTTTTCGCAATAGTGAGGTTGGAAAGAACATGTTAGGTAGTAGATCTAGTGAGGAGGTTGAGTCCAAAAAAAGGGGACGAAAAGGAGCGCAAGGCCAGCAGAATGGCAGTCTGGAGACAGAGTCTACGAGCAGTTTCCTAGAGCTTACATGGTTTGGTCTATGTTTCTTTCCTAAGTCGAATATCGACGAGCGCTTTTTGTTTGGGGACGAATGAATACAAAGGACGCTTTAAATATTGTAAAATTCACGATGCGAGGTGCCACGAACAACATGCATGCTTTGCGGTACGGGTTGCTCTGGCAAGCTGTGTTGGTCCTGCCATGACGTGCCGCTTGATGGTAGCTCCGTACCTCACCACTACCCTAAGGAACTGGTCGGTGCTTTGAGAGCTCACATTGAGTGGTGGGGTTCTTCCCCAGGGGCTGCTGATGACCGCCCTACCCCGCCGGGTCCGTTCCGCTAACACTCCCACCCCTCGAACATCCAATCCATCGACAACGCATCCCATCACCGCCGAAGCTTCTGAAAACTCTCGCCTCGCCGATCCAGACATATATACACACACAGCGCCACAATGGCCGCCGTCGACCCTTTCGACTCGGCGCTGTAAGCACCGGCCCCCAACCCATCGTCTCCAATGTCACTAACCCGAGCCCGCCTCCAGCGACCTCCTCCGCCGTCTGAACCCGAAACACACGACCGACCACCTCAATGCCATCATCTCCCTCGCCCCAGATCTGACCGAGGACCTACTCTCATCCGTCGATCAGCCCCTGACCGTCAAGCGGTGCAAGCAGACGGGCCGCGACTACCTCCTTTGCGACTACAACCGTGACGGCGACAGCTACCGCTCGCCATGGAGCAACCAATTCGACCCGCCTCTGGATGAGAGCGGCGTCGGTGGTGTCGGTGCAGGTGGCAGCGAGGGTGCTGGCGAGGGTGCTATCCCTAGCGAGCGTGTCCGCAAGATGGAGATCAAGGCCAACGAGGCGTTTGACGTCTACCGGGATCTCTACTACGAGGGCGGTGTGAGCAGTGTCTACTTCTGGAACCTGGACGATGGATTTGCCGGCGTTGTTCTGCTCAAGAAGTGTACGTCTCTGCCCTGCTGGGCCCGGCCATGAAGACACTACGTGAAAAAGCGCTGACATTGCAACAGCCGCGACACCTGGTGGCAGTGCCGAGGGTGTCTGGGACTCGATCCACGTCTTCGAGGCCATCGAACGTGGCCGCACCACACAGTACAAGCTTACCTCGACCGTGATCCTCTCCCTGTCGACTTCGGCAGCCTCTCTGGGCGACATGGACCTGAGCGGCAACATGACGAGACAGGTGGAGCAGGAGCTGCCGGTTGATGGCGACGAAAGCCACATTGCCAACGTCGGCCGCCTGGTTGAGGATATGGAACTCAAGATGCGCAACCTGCTGCAGGAGGTCTACTTTGGCAAGGCCAAGGACGTCGTCGGCGACCTGCGGAGCATCGGCAGCCTTAGCGAGGGGGCGAGGGACCGCGCGGCGCAGAGGGAGATCATTGGCAGCATGCAGAGGTGATCTGATTCTTAGATGCAAGCATTGTTGCGCTGTGTGCGTTGTTTCGGAAGTTATCAGAGAGGAATGATAAAAAAAAAGATTATGGTGTTACGGCTGGACATGGTGATTATCGAGAGATCGGGTCGTACTGTTTCAAGCCGCCTGCTCCCCCCCTTGTCTTAGATCAGATCTCTTCGTGCATCGAGGCGTCGGGATCGTGGGGTCCCAGATAGATGAGGGCTTGCCCGCCTTGTCTTGGCCCATGTCCTCTTTGGAGTAGGGAGCGTCATTGCCTCGCAGGACCAGAGAGGGATGCGCGTCTGGGCCAGGGGCAATATCAAAGCTGACGAGTGGCTGAGAAGCACTCCGTGTAACTTTTCAATTTGGGATGTCGTCCCGTGTTCCTGGGAAGCTTGTTTCTTGTCTTGCAACTTGTTTCCCCTTCTCGTCTTTCACAGTCTGGGTCAAAAAAGCACCAAAACCCAACTTGGACAACTCAAAGAGGTAAAGCCAGGTGGAAATGACATGTCGTGCAACTCGTTGAATCGCGGTCTCTCATCTATTCCAGGCCCAGGCCCAGGCCCAGGCCCCAGCCCCGGTGAGAGCGGTGTGATGCCCACCAGCTAGATTAAAAAAAATCGCGGTGGAGGCCTTTTTCCATCGCGGTGGAGGAGGTCCTTTCTGGATCCAAAGCGATTGGCCTCCAGTTCTCCGTGAGGCTCTTCCCGTAGCGTCACCTTCCCGATCTGGAAGGCGAGAGGTTCCTCTCCTCTCTCAATGATGTATGTTCCAACTTCATCTCGCTAACAGGTACTTTTTCCCTGTGCTTTGCAGAGGGAGGGGGCAGGTTGCCGAGTCAAGCTCGCCCTGGCCGACCTGCGGAATTGAGTCGTTGAAAGTTGGAAGTGGAACTTGCGTACTCGATAAGAACAATATCCCTACAGACGAAGTTGTCGCAATACCTAGTAGAGAACTGACTATGCGCTAAGACCTTTTCTGGTTTCCATCTCATTCATTCAACTGACAATCTTCCGAAGAGGTTTGATCTTGCAAGAGACTCAAGATAAACCTCGCAACCGCATTGTCCCAAATTGGGGGATACCGGTTGTTTACTTTTTGAACTTGGGCGCGCCGCAAGTTTCAACTCAGACGACAGCCTCGTTTTCGCACGCGCGTGTGTGTGAACACGTCATCGCGGCGGCACTTGCATACTTATAGAAGCAGCAGTCATTAACCTAAATTGTTTGGTCTGAAAACAGCCAAGATTACCGCGGATTTCTAGGGGAAGAACGGAATTGTAATAGCCCGGTAGCCTCATCGTAGCACAACCGAACTGCCCATTACTCGTTCTTTATGGAGCAAGACTTGGCTAGTGAGCCGCTGCACATCATCAACGCAAGTCAGAAGTGCCATACGTAAGGTTGAGCCAACCCCCCTGCTTCGGGTATATCCAGTATTCATTCCGCGCACACATCCTCAAGGCGCGGCTGGGATGAGAACAGCGGCCATTGCGAGATTGCCGAGTCCAAGACGGGGATTGGTATGTCCAAAAGCGAGAATTACAACGAAAAGGTTGACCAAACGATGGAACATAGTGAATGGTGACTATGTGGGTAACCTTATGCCATGACCGAGTCAACTGTAGATCTGTTGGAAAGTCTGACCAACAGGTATCATCCTCTGTCGGCTGTTTGTTGTTCTGAAGCTCAAGAAGTAGTTCAATGCTAGGCCTCGTAGTACTAGCCGACTTGGAGGGTATATTGATTAATATGTCGCAGTTGTGTTGCAGTCAACAGCTGATGCCCAACAAACCTTGATGCTACCTACTCTGGCGGTTGAGGCGTTGGAGTGCTGGCAAGTGTTCATTGTAGGCGGGGACATGCGAGGCATTCGGCCCGCTGTCCGCGCAGAGTTGATTAAGTCGAGGGTTGCTGCAGCGAGTTGAAGAGCAGATCTGTTTGGCTGAGTGGGTCTTTGGTTGTGATTGACATCGGAAATTTTGCTCGATCAATAGTCAGTCGGCTCTGGATCTTGGGCCGAATGCGTGTTAGCTTCAACGTGTAGGCGCTGGCTTTGGCTCTGTTTCTGTTTTATTTTTGGTGAAAACGAGAGGGCTGATAGTTGGGGTGAGCGCACTGTCTGTGTCTCAACCGCCGATCTCTTTTTTAAAATCACCCAGGGTCCGTCGCAATAGATAAAAAGACTACCGGGATGGACTGCACACGTCGCCGAGTCGGCAAAAGAAAGCATACGAGATTCGTTGCAGAACAGATCCCGGAAGACTTCTAGAACGCGCAGCCGATCGTCTCTCCAGGACCCCGCATGCAGGATGCAGGGAGAATAGAAAGTCAAAAGGGCAAGCCCGAGGCCGAGGCCGAACCCGCCAGTGGGAGCGTGCCGGCGCGCGTGTGTCGGCCCCCTTTTTAGGTTGAAAGGCGGCGTCCTGGCCTACAAGAAGGCGCGCATCTGAGAAGCTCATCATGGGAGGCCCCTGAGCGGGAACAGGGCGGGATCCATGGGATGGACATCTCGCGCCGCTGGCGCTAGCCGGCGGCTTGGGATGAGAGGGCAACGACAGGAGAGAAAGCTCGTGCTCCCGTCGACGGCCGTGGTGTTTAGGATGCATAGTTCATTTCGTGGTCTGATCCCGACATGATGGGTGTGTCACCCGAAATCGAGGCTGGTTGTGAGACAAGATTTGAAGTGACACGGCCTTGAGAACTGGTTGCCGTCTCCCTGTCCGGGCCGGGTGACACAGCGGTATTGAGGAGCCAGGACGGAGATGCCGGCCGGGAAGTGCGAATGCAAGACCGGGAATAAGGGTATGGTGAGCCGGCCATGATGGGGGCCTTTCTTTGTCGGCCTTTCTCTTTTTGTCGCCCACGTTGGAGTCTGTGGGTGACACCGGACGCGAAGGCAATCAATCAACCAGGCATGTGTTGAGAGAGACCTGGTTCGGCATGAGAGGTGTTCCGGAACTGGGGAGAGACATTGTTGGAACTGGCCTGGGTAGGGAGTGGCTCGCTCTGCCAGTTGAGAGTGCTAGGTAAGGTACGGAGTCCGAGTAAGGGTATGAGAGGCAGACGTGTGCGTACCTTGCATTCGTTTGTCGAAAATGGCATCAATGTCTCTGTTGTCTG